AACGTTCCACGATACCCCAGCTGGAGATGGACGCCTCGGTGGCTCCCCGGTCGTATTTGTCCATCAGCTTGTTTACTTTCTGTAAAAGCATTGGTGTTCAATGAATCCAGCATCCTGGATGGGGATCTTTCTTTTGTGACAATCGCTGTGTCATCTCAAATGTTCAAGTGTGGTCTGTCTGTTTGCCACTGCCGGCGGTGTCAGGTCATGGTAACCATGGTGACTGTGTTAGACTGAATCATTGAAGGTGTCTGAGCCCTCAGGGGAGCACAGATCTAACAGGAGCGCGGCGTGCTCGATGCACTTTGTTTGCTGGGTCAGTTCCGATCCTTTGACAAATGTCAGTGGGACGTGTCAACAGTTTGCAGTCGTTTTGTAGCATGGAAGACACAATCTGTAATATAATCTCTATGATGGAATGCTGAGTTTGAGCACTTTGTTTTCTGTATTATGAAATTAGTCTTAGTATTGTATAACTAATTGATCTATATGCTATGCATTTTTTTTGCCAGTCCATCTTAAGTTTTTTGAAGTTTTTAATCAGTTTTTTAGTCACATTTTTGTCACCTTTTTTAGGATCCAGTACAGAATTAGTTTGTAAAGCCACAGAGGAATGTATCCTTTGCATAAATTTATCATCAAACCTAAAAGGTTTGCTCTGCTGTTTAAATTCTGTTCTTTAGACTATTTTACATTGGTGTAAAAGCATCTAGCTGCAGGTCACCTTTATTTCTGCTCCACAAGATTTATTCGTCTTTATTCTTATTTCATTTTGCCACTCAGCTTAAAGTGGAAATGAAATGTTCAACAAAAATTACTTAATTCACGAGATTCTGCCTTGCTATTATCAACATTTTTAAAACAAACATGAAAAATCTAAATGCAAAAGAAAAAAATGTAGGGGGGTGTTCGGAACTGGAACTAACACAACACAAAAGTTTAAGGCTTAGATGAGGATAATGGTTTTGCTAACTCTAGAAGCTCAACAAGATCAGAACAGTCCAAACACTGTTCAGGTTCTATAGTTATCTCAGATGATACGTTAATTTTCAGAAATAAACCAATCATATTTAGAGCGGTTCCAATGTTCTTATTTTTAATAGAATCAATCTTATTTATAAAGAATCCCATAAAATCATTACTGCTAAGAGCAGGGGGTGGATGGTTTGATAGAGCTATGACTCTGGGCTAGTTATTATTGAAATAAATTGAGGATTATGCTTATTGTCCTCTATTCATGCAGAGAAATATGCTGCTCTTGTTTTCTGAAGGGTAATTTTTACAGCAGTAGACTGTTTTTTCAGATTAAGTGGGATTCCTGTGGTTGTGTAGAGCAGGGTTTATTTATCCTGGTTCTCAGGACCCATTGTCCTACATCTATAGGTTTTACCCTGCATGACCTGTTTAAAAAGATGATCAACAGGCATCATTTGAAGGCTGCTGCGGAGGTAATACAGTTATTTGAATTAAGTGCGCTTGAGTAAAGAGACATCTTAAACATGGACGGTAGGCCCTGAGGACCAGGATTAAGAAACCCTGAAATAAAGCACCATTTTCTCTCAAGTTTACTTGAAATATTGTTCAAAGTACACAACTCAAATTAGACCGGGAAGCCAGCTTTCCATTAATACAATTTTTAAGGGGTTATCTTGTCTAAAGCAAGATGCAGAAAAGGAATCATCCCGTCAACAAAATCATCAACTTGTAAAGGGGAATAACTTTAATGGATGCCCTCTAAATTAATGTCCTGTCATGCAGAGGTAATAAAAAATAGAACATATTTAGAATAATGATTTGCTAAAGTGAAATCTTCAGTTGTGGGGGGTAGAACAGTGCTAAAGTAATCTTGAAGGTTACAAAAGGTGATCAGATATGGCCTTGAGGAAATACAGTTTTTTCTTAACAATCAATGACATATGCCAGTAAGTTCAAAGTATGAAGAAGAGCATGCATGGGACTTATGCCCATTTTAAACAAAGTCAATCGAATCTAAGATAGAATTATAGGCTGCATTTAAGCCATTAGATTCAATGTCAGCATGGATGTTAAAATCCCCTACTATGATGACTTTGACATTATTTAAAGGTATAGTGGAGGATTTTCATGAATTTTTGAAAAAGGCCATCCTCTCTACTTACAAAAAAAAAAAAAAAAAAGTGCACCTGCATAATCTATACCCTCTCCTGAGAGGGAACGCCTATTAACCGTGTGCTAGACCTTGCATGAGCTCATCTCCTCCTGTATGCTCTGTTTAAAAGTTGCTGTTTGCATCGCTAATACAAGCTTACCTTACAAAAGAAGATTTGCAATTTTTCCACTACGTCAGACTCACCACCAGTATATTAAAATGGCGACGAGCACGTACGGCGGCCTTACGTAAACATATCACCAGAATGATTGACAAGTGGAGAAAGACTTGATTTAAAAGTTGCATGGGGTAGCTGTTAAAGGCGGGTTCTGCGCCTTTAACAGCTACCCCATGATGAAACTGATCCTCAAGAATTTAGGTTTGAAACCAGCAGACATTTGATAATAAAATCACTTTGCCAGAAAAAAGGAACAAGTCTTTTTTATTATTATTTAAAGTGAGAAAAAAAATGAACAAAACTTTCAAAGAAATGTGAAGGGCATTCAGCGCTGGGGGAAAAAAAATGAAAGCTGGAAATTGTTGAGACATTAGAGCTTTTAGTTTCATCATATTCAACAAATTGCTCTGTATAAGTATGAGAATAATCATGGTCATTTTGAAGAACAACAGAAGCAGCCTCATTTGTCAGCCAGGTTTTGTAGTGAGAGCTTGTTTATTCATTTTTTTTCTAAAACAGATTCTGTGTAAACACCATCAGTGTAAAATGTAAAATGATGGATGAGAAGCATGAGCCAGAGAAATATGAGCAGCCTGTTGTCTGGTGTTGCTCTTTCTGAGTCTAAGCTGGATGAATCAAACTCCAAATAAATAAATATGCATATTCTATCAAATGGAAGAGAAAACAGGTTCACAACTGATGATACTAAAGTCTAAGTCATTTGAAAGAAGACAAATCTGGGTTTACTTGCATATTTCTAGTTGTGACAAAATTGCATTTGAACTGAAACAACTCTGAGAAGCAAACAAAGCAGAAACGCATGACAACAGAGAGGTTTCTCTAACTTCATTGTTTTTTCACTGAAAGTCCCGGTGGTTACTTGGTGTTTTTACAAAATGAGGAAAGTGTTCTGTCTGGAGTTATATCTGAAACATTTAAAAGCAAATATTTGCTTTTGTGAATATGTAGAAAATTCTCTTCTGTGTGCAAAAAGTTTGAACACAATATAAAACCTTACAATCCCTAAGATAGCTGGAGACTCATGAGAAACATGTGATTTTTTTGTTGTTTCTTAATAGGCCTCTTGAGCATTTGCCTTTTTTTGTTGGCCATCTTTGAGTGGTCTGAATGGCTGTCTGCTGGGAAACTTAGCATTATGACTCATATTGTAGATTCCTGTATTTAAAAAAAGTCTGCATTTACATTGTTCTGATACGAGTTTCTGTTTTTTAAGGAAGCTGGATGAATGGTTAATGTTTTAAAAGAAAGAGAAAGAAACATCTTTTACCATAATTCAATTGATGACCTTTTATAAGTCACAAGTATCAAAATTACCTGAAATATGTTGTGTATAAAAAAGCAGTTTTACTTCTTGAATTGATGCTGAAGTTTCTAATCTATTGTCCTGAAAACAATAGGGTTGTATCTCTGAGCCTCAATTAATGAAGTTGAAAGTGAGTGAAAGAGCAAGATATCAAACTATATAGATTTTTTAAGAATGTCTTTTTTTTTTTTTTTTGCAGAGAGCAATTCTTGAATTCGCTATTTTTTTCTTCCGTAGTTTAAATGATAGAAATAAACCAATAACGGGTAACGGTGTTACACAAGTCTCAATTGAATTCATATTTGAAAAAAAAAAAAAACAATTTTAACACAACATTAACATTAGCAGATTGAGGGAAGGTTAATGTTTTAATGATCTCCAGGCATGAATGCTGAATTTAATAAATCAGCAAATGCCTGCTTGTATTGGCTAGGGCTGTCCAGGTACAACTTTTTCCTTTTTGATACAAAACCAATATTGCAGCTTTGGGTCAATACGACATGGACCCGATACAATATTGGTATAAAAGCATTACGCTTTATTTCTAATATTGTACTGTAGAATGATAGAAAAGGGTTGATCAAGTGATATTATTAAAACGGAGGACAAAAGTCAACAACAATAGGTATGAAGACAGCTCACCCATGTGATAATAACCAGTGAGTTACAGACACTTTAAACAGGAACAGAGAGTTTTTATTAGTTTGCCAATTGAAGAGATTTTAGAGACAGGCAGATATAATCCAATATTATTTTTTTAGCTAATGTTGGACCCTTTTCAGATATAATTGTTGGATCAGGATATCCCTGTATAGGTCTATGCTGATTCCACATCAAATGAAAAGAGATAAAAAAACAAATAGACCCAAAATATTGGCCAGCAGATGTGACGGTGTATCTCTAGAAAAGACCTCTGCTGGTGACTGTTGCCATGCCTGGAATAATAAGATATCATGCGATCTTTCTGAATAATCTTAGATTTTCAGAGTGCAGTCAGAGAAGTAATGAGCATGAATGACTTAGTTTTTATGCTTGAAGCTCCTCCTTGTTGTCGGATCGAATGAAACTCAGATTGTGAAATCCTGAGTGTTTTTCTTTCTGTAGGAGGAGTTTTCACCCACCTGTGGTAAATTCCACAGACATGTCATTCTCTTTGATATCCTTGATTGTGCACTATGCCTCAACTAAACACAGTCGTTGAGGCTGTGCCTGTGTCTCTGTGGAGCGATTCCACTGATCAATTCTTCAGCCCATCTGTCTGGCTGGCTTATTCACAAAGCTGCATCTTAGGCAAGAAGAACCTTCGCTGCAGGAGTCTTCATTAAACCTGTCCTCCCTCTGCTCCCTCCTCCTTTTCTGCTTCTCTACAGGCCTGGGGAAAGTTAATGAGAAGATTCGATCAGCTGACACCCCCCACCTCACTCCTCCTCAACCCTTTCTTCCGACTATTATCTTCCTCCAATGTCAGCGTTGACTTGTGCACTTAACTGGTGAGTGGTGAGTCACCAGTGGCTTACACTTAATAATATGCTATTGTTGAAAATCTGATCTTTTGCATGAAAAAAAAAACTTTTTGGGACATTTTATCAGATTATAAAAAGTTGGTCTGTGTTTTGTGTGTTTTTTTGTTATGCGTATGATCATGTTATACATTTTTAGTATTTCCATCTTTGCTATGTTTGTTTTATATTTTTTACTGTTATTGCAAGCTTAAGGTCTCTAAAGATTCAATAACTTAAAAGGCCATTAAATAGAATAAAACAGAATGAATTTTATTAATACAAAAATATGTAAAACAAATACTGATTTTAACCTGAAGTTTGTACAAGCAAACTATTTTTTATTGTTATGTAAGTTAATTGCAGGTGAATAAATTATGGGTTGGACAAGCAGCTTGAAGTGACTATGAATGAAATGGTCAATCAGTTTTAGCAGAATGTAAGAGGCTTTCTGAACACTGACAAAAAATCTACAGATTTCTTATATTTTCTAAAGTAGACGCACAGCTTTAAAAACCTAATGGTAAACTTTTTTTTACCTTAATCAATCTTGTTTTGGGGAGGGATGTTTGCCTTTATTGCCTTCATGACCCAGTTGGGCTAAGTCATCATGTTAAAAGATTTTTATTCAGAGGAAAAAAAATGCTTCCCTCTGTTAGCCATTCCATATACAGGGTTTCTATAGCTCATTAAAAATCATTAAAAGTCATTAAATTATTATTTTTTAAAGTAAGGCCTTATTTGATGTTAAAATGTATTAAACGTGATTACTGTAGCATTTAGAATAAAAAAAAATAAAATAAAAAAAAACGATAAAAACAATTTCGTCAGATATATTATATTGTGATAAATTCGCGCGGAGCGGCTTCTGGTTGATCATACAGCCGTCAATCCTTGTTGATGGCATTAAAATAATTTCTCAGAGCATAAAAAAGCATTAAATTAAGAGTTACTCATTCCTGTATAAACCCTGATATAGTTTGTCTTTTTTGTATTTTTCTAATTATCTTGTCACAGACCTGTGGATAATAGGATTAAAGAGCTTGGAATATGATTATATGACATATTTAAAAGCTACCTAAAGAATCTCAGAAGAAATAAAGATTATATTAAAATATAAAACTGTCCCCTAACTTTCAGTGGTGCAGCTTGGATGTACTTGTTTTTTTTTTTGTTTTGTTTTTTCCACAAACAGCTTTTTAGTTTTTCTTTAATCTTTCATTTTATAAAACACACTCAAATCTGTGGTGTGCTCTTAACATATGTCAAAATGTGACTGGGGGGGGGTGTTAATGTGCATGGCTGAATTCTGACTCAGACATATACATAACACTAGGCAGCACCTAAAGCCCTGTCATTTGGACCTCTCTCTCTACCTGCCACTGTGATGTGTAGGAGGTGCAGCGTGATGGTGTGGCTCAGTTGTTCTGCCAGTGAAAAGGATTTGCAGTTATGAATGGCACAGTAGCATTGTGCAGGTCTCAGCCTGCTGCTGAATCACTGCTTTAAACTAATTTTGTGGGTACAGAAAAGCCACCATGCTTTGTGCTCTGGTTTAGGACCTGCCTCATCCAACTGCTTGGCTCTACATTGCATGACAATTACCCACAACCCCTCCCTTTATCATTGGCAAGATGTAAAGGTAGAAAAAGTAAATACAGGCTAAGTTACGAAGTTGTTGTGGTCTTAACGTGTCTTGTGAATCGTGACTGTGACTCTAGAACAGAATCATTTCATTATCTATTGCAGTAGCTTCATCTGGTCTCTTGCCGTTTGGCTATGGCACCATCCTGGAGGGCAATATCAGCTGTGCTGCTGCCATCAACATCTCAGTTTATAGATGTTTGGAGCTTGGCCGGTTTTTCAGTGTAGGCTTGTTTCTCTGACTGTGACTAAATGTGCAGTCTTTCATTCTCTGACAAGGGAGCTGGCTCAGAGCTCATCTGCCTGGCTGTGTGTTTCCTGGACGAGGCTGCCTGTGGAGCTGGTTGACAGTTACCTTTTGTATCTTTGCTTCTTTTCTATGTCTGCTTCTGTCTCCTTAAACCCCAGTCGGCCACTGAGCCTGGTTCTGCTGAAGGTTTCTTCCTGTTAGGTTTCTTTTCCTCTCCACTGTAGCCAAAAGCATGCTTGGTGGGAGGGATAGCCTTCGAGTCAATGAGTCGATGCAATCAACTGGTTTTCCTTAGAAAACTTTAAATCAAATTGACTGTATCATTGGTTGAATTGTCTCTGTAAAGTGCCTTGAGATGACTTGTTTTGTGAATTGGCGCTATATAAATAAACTGAACTTAATATCAGGTGTTATAATCATACATTGATTAAGTAATCAGTCATTAAAGTAGAATGGTAGGTAGACTTTTTGACTCAGATTTCCACTTACGTTTGGTGAGATTATCACCTACTGTAGGCAAGGCTCACTGTAAGATGTCTTGGTAGACCTGTTCTGACTTTGGACCAATGGAAACATCACACTGAAACTGAAACTAGTTTGTAAGGCTGTCCTGCTTCTTTTCATTGTCTTCTTGCTGCCTCATAGCTGACATGTCAATCAGTGATAAACGACCTTCTGCAAAACTTGATGGCAAATGAGGAGGTTTTCATTTCATTTGAATCATTTGAATCCAGTGAGATGAAATAAGGACACAAGTAGCACATGCAAGACATGGGTCCTAAGCATCAGGGTGAGGAGCCCTTGCTTCAGTAAAGGTGTCAAAATGGGTTTAGTTCTATTTAGCCAATGAGATGTTTAAATACTGTATATCTGCTAGAACTGGCCGGCTGCTAGACAGTGGATGCACCACTTATACTACCATCCCTGAGTGCTTATTTTCTATAATATTCAAATGTAATAAAACAAATCAAGAATTCAGCCTTAAAGGTGCGTTACACTAGTTTATATGTTTTGTTGTTTTGTTTTTCTCCCATAAATGCCCTACATGTAAAATGAGCTTTCCTCTTTTTACCACAGTTGCCTCTTCAGGCTCCATTAGTCGCTTTATGAGGCAGTGATTTGGGCTGAATTCCCTGGTCGTGTGTGTAGGTGTGACGGCTGCACACTCGTATATCGCAGTGAGAGAGCAGGGGCAACGGTTTGTTGAGACGGTTCACAAAATACCAGCTACAAGTGCACCTCAAACCCCATCAGACGCCACACAAGAACAAGAAATTTAAACCGTTGTTATTTGTAAGAAGGGCAAAACTGAAGTCTGATTGGGGAAGAAACAAGTTTACTTTTTTGACCTGAATTAATCTAAAAATATATATATATATTTTTAGATGATGTTATTCAAAAATATCACCCTGTGTTTGTTAATTGGTTGGTATTCTTTTCTAGTTTCGTTATTTAAAGAATTTGGTCTGAAACTCTGTATTCAGAGTATGTTCCACCAAAGCAGAAATACTTGGCATTAGGAGGTATTCTAATACCTCTACTTTTCACACACTTAAGCTCTATTCTCTGAGGATTTCAGCTTGCACTTTCCCCCTGCATTGCAGCTCTCACGGAGCAGTTGCAACCAGGATGGATTTCAGGTGTTACACCTTATATCCATTTCAGCAGATGTAAATAAAAGAAAACCGCTTGGATCTAATCCTGCTGCATGTTCTAATTTTGTGAATTTGATGCTTTTGTTCTCTGCTGGAATGAATCCTCTTTGTACTGTGACAGAAACCTCCTGTGAAAACGAATTGATTTCATATGGAATAGTGGCTTTGTGGTGAGAACAGGGTGTTGGGTTCTGGAAAGACTGAAAGTTCCCGGTTTGATTCCCACAGACTATTTCTATGAGCAGGACCCTTACCAAAGATTGCTGCACAGCATAAACCCAGCACTCTCTAAGGGATTGGTCGGATTCCAAAAATAGAAATGACAAATAAAAATGACAATTTAAAGGTTTAGTGGCGGATGTTCTTTTTCCGGTGGGTCTTCAAAATAAGTGGTCCTCTTAATTGTCAATCATGCTGGTGCTATGTTTACATAAGTCCGTCCTACGTACTCCTTTCCATTTTAACTTACTGGTTTGACATAGTGGAAAAATTGCAAATCATCTTTTGGAAAGTAAGCTTGTATGAGCGATGGAAACAGCAACTTTTAAACAGAGCGTGCACAAGGAGAAATGGACTCATGCATGGTCTCATACGCGTTTAATAGTTGCTCCCTCTCGGCAGCAGGTACAGGGTTGTGCATGTGGAGAGGTCGGGTCTTTTTCAAACGTTTCCGAAAATTCTCCACTATACCTTTAAGTAAAAAAAAAAAACAGTTGGGATCTTTTTAGTTGTGGTTAGAAAGAATAAACAACATTTTTGAGTGTTTACAGTCATGACTGCTTCATGTGACTACATTGGATAGTGGTGAGTTTAAATGTCATCTGAAATTTTGACCTGAGGCCTGTTCAGACTGCAGTTGAAAAACAACTGCTGCTTCTTATTCCTAAAGGTAATTGCTCTGCTTTGCATCCAGCAATGAAACTCACATGATGCGATTTCTGCAGCAGTGACACCAAAGTTCAGATTCCACTCATGCTCATTGGCTGCCTAGTTTGTCAGGTCATGCTATAAAAAAAGAAAGCAAAAAAGAAGACATGAAAGCTTCAATTATCTTTCACAGTTTATTTATTTTTAGTTAAAACATTTAAATTGTTAGCGTAAAAAATATTTTGCACTGTCATGGCCATCGAGACTATCACGGAGATTAAATTCTAAACCTCAGCAGCTCAGATGACATCCCCAGACTGGAGCAAACACCACAAGTTTTAATGCTTAATTTCCCATTTTAATGAGTAAAGCTGATGGAGATCCCCTTTACAACAAAGCCGCCTCAGAGATGCAGAGAACACTGCCGGGAGCCGTATTTTATGGAGGCTTCCTCTGATGTCGGGACTTTTCCCATAAAACTGGTAAAATGGTGCTGCTTTTTAAAACGTTACCCTAATGACCGGTCTCTGTGTGCAGAGTTGGTGTGCTGATGAAAACTTCATAAGTATTCTCAT